AAGAAAAGATGTAATTTCACTTTTTTGTATTTCTCTGGCTAGTGATGTATGTACGTCGTATCTTTTGTAGTTATAGCTTAAGAGGACGACTTTCTGCGTAAAAATTTCGCCACGGTGATGTCTTCATATATTGGAAAAGTACCAAATCAGGATGCGCACAATTACCCGCTGCGCACAGTTCCCCCACTTTCCCCTATATATGTAATTATCGGATTATACATAGAGATTTCATATGAATTTTATAATGATTTCGCGGACTCTATTCCACGATTACATTAAGTGATTACCCCCTCGTGATAAACTGTCGGGCCTTGGCTGTGAACAAAACAATAATAAACAATAAACAGTTGCGTCGTTGTCTAATTTCTGTATGCGTATCAGAACCTAATCATTATTGCTAATTGAGATGTCGAGGCTTTTGGCTCGCGAAACTTACCGCTAATTTCTGAAAATGATGTATCACGAGCAACGGATCGCGAGCAATAGCGAGCCGTCTTCGTGCGTCCTAGTCCCACGGCGCGTAAAGCTTTGCCGAACCATGACGAGCCATGCCGAGCCACGGGCCGTGGGATCCCACCTTTAGGTCGCGCGATACAAAGCCGCTATATAAAACTATAAAAAATAGTTTTATAATTTGGTTTATAACTCTCGTAATTCTTATACGAGTTATCTCGCAGCTGAGTTATCAACGAGTCTGGACCGAGAAGCGAAAACCATATCTGCCGCGCACTAAGACCATGTTGGCAACCGTTAAAATGCAATCGGATACGACATCTCGTTGTGAATACGTAGCGAAAACGACGTTACGTCCGGACCTTATCGTCCCCTCTGATAATATCCGCACAGTCGATGTACCGTTGGAGGGAGAGACGACTACCGCATTATCTTATGTAAAACCCGACATGATAAAACCTGTTCGCAGTTACAAACCCGTTATGCAATATTACAGGTGAGAAGGAAAAACGAAAACATATCGTAAAATTTAAATAGTCCAAAAGACGTTAATGATGCAGCTAAAACTCGTATTTTCGGAAGGAAATTCTGTCCTCCGAGGACGCCTTTAAATTGTTTGAGTCCGTAATTAATTTCTTTATCCATTTTAATTTTGATTTAATTTAGCTATATATTTACAAAACATATAATTAGCGCGGGTCATTAGAGTCTTGTTTCATCTTTTAAATCTTTTTATGCTTCGAGTAAAGTCATGATTGATCTTGCGATGCATTCTATCCAGGCCAGGAGTTAAGATCGACTGCGAGACAATAAATAAATTATCATACCAAACGTGGACGCCGAAACCTAAAGAGGAACTTCCATGGGCTCAAAAGAGCAAATATCGAGCTCCAGAACAGCCGATGGTCAGCGACACGGTCTATCATATGAGTTATCCCATACCAGGTCATTATGTCGAGGACGATTCGTTCACAGAATGTCCTTGTCCAATCGACAAACAGGATAATGTTTCGTCTACTTCGACAGCAGCATGTTAACTGTTTTTAGATTGAAATCATCTACTGTGTCTATCTATGCTGAAGATAAATTGCAATCTATTTCGATATTATTTTAAACCCATAATAAGCAACGTTCCCTATTTTTGGGACAAAAAACCACATATTATTACGAATAAAATTATTTTAGAGTAAAAAGCAATTACATTGTTTACATTTTTCAATATTTATTTCAAGTGTACTAAAGTTTCTTTCTCAGAAAGTTAATTGCTAAAAAGCTGTACTGGTCAAAAACAGAAACGATTGCATTAACTATAATTATTAATTAATTCTTCATAATTTAATTATAAATGAATTAATAATGCAGATAAAATCAAGAATTTACATCTTTCTACTCGAGATTTCGGATACGGAAAGTACGTCGAGTAAATCGTGAATTCTATTCTAAATATAGTTACAGTAATAAACAGCCGGCTGCTGGATAGCTTTATAGTAACCGCCTGTCAAAAACGAAAAACTCGAGTTCGATTTTCCTGCCTTGCCATTTTACTTATAAATTAACAAACTTTTTTGATGAAAAAATGTTCTGTCATGGTAGAAGAGTATCTAAACTTATAAAACAAATCAAAAGTTATGTATCACAAAGCCGCGCTACTCTACTTTGTTCCAGCATGAGATAGATATCTGTTGAAGTAGAAAGAAAATAATTGAACAACCATTATATTTTGTTCTACAATATACTTTATTCCACGTTTAAACATACGTGTTACGTGTAACATACGTTATATCGTAAAACATACAGGGGAGGGAATAGGGCACCATAGTAATTTATATCTATAATAACCTAAAGTTATTATAGCTGATGTAAGTTAAAAAGTAAGAGGATTTTGTGTAAATCCTAAGAAAATTAATCTTCTTACTTTTTCCCTTCTCTTTATCTCATACTCTATGAAATATTCCTTATTTCTAAAAATAATTCTAAAAATTGATGTTAAGATTTCAATCCAAAGAACCTTCGCAAGAACATTCTAAATTATTTTTCAAAGATAACTTATCTTATTGAAATACTACGTAGGTCCTAGAAACTTAAGATATCACTAAAATAAAAAAACTTCTTAAAAATTAATTAAAATGATTTACACTTAACTCGACGAGATCTTTGCAGAACTTGCCGAAAAATTGCAGAATACAAAATTTAAAAATGCGCAAGGCACTTATTTTAGATTACATCACACAATGCACTTTTAAATCTATGTAACACGCGCTATCGTTTCTTTTAACATTATTTTTCTGTATAACTGAACAAAATGCAACAAAACTAAAAATTTAACCGATTTCCTATTTTCCATTCCTTCTTTCCAAAATCCAAAATGCAATTTGACTAGGTGATCGTGGAAATGATGGTCTATGCATTGTTTGTATAAGTATACGCTCTAAAATTCTCACTTCGAATCTTTATCAAATCTTAAACATTAGAATTAGGCGAGCAATAATTTTGCTTTTTTCTTTATAATCCTCTAAAGACGTAAAACCAATTCGCGTGTAAATATATGTATAATATGTAATTATACAAGTTATTATAAAAGAAAGAAATAACGTGATTTATACTATTCCGTTAAAATGTTTTTTATAAAATGATCTAAATATTTAACAAAAATAATTGTTTTATCAATCTCTAGACGTAATTCTATATATATGTAATATAGATATTATAGATACCTGCTTAATCTGCTATTCACAAGCGACATACAATTCTATTTATAATTACATGTGCTCTCTTAGCACTTTATACGTTATAGACAATAATATATAAATCTTTGTACTAAGTCTCTTTTATATTGTGTAAGAACTTAAATTACATTGATAAACGTTACAAAACAAATGATACAAATAAAGAGTACAAAAGGAGACAATTCGATAAAATTAATGAAATTAATGGAATACGAAAAAAAAAACTTTTGATTGCTCCTATAAAAGAATCAATAAATATAAATTTGGAATATAAAAACACTGAATTGAAGAATTACTTGCTTTTTTCATTAAAAAAAATATTAACGGAAAAAATCACAATTTTTGTCGTAACAATTCAATTCATTAAATAGATACAAATATTCGGATCTACTAGATACAAATATTTCGTACTTGGTATCTATTTAATAATGAGTTGTATCAACGTATCAATATGATTTATGCAAAAACTCTCGGACATATTGCTCAGTCAGTGCAACTTGAGTATAAGAGAACAAGATCAACAGAGATATATTACATATTATATATCATATTAGATAAAAGTGATAACAACTTGATCTTTCTATAATCTTCTAAGATATAAGAATACCAATTTTGTAACTACAAAAAACACTGGCTATGAATCATTATTATAAAAGAAGAGGAGAGAGAAAAAGAAACATAATTGTACCATTCTAGGATACATTAATATCCCTCCCCTGTTAACAATTCGCAATACATTTCGTTGCCTTCGGTGCGTTTCGGCGTGATTGATAAATAGAGATCGGAGAAAGATCGGGATTAGACATGCAACGGTGATCATCACGGACATGCCGTCTCAGGGACGATGGGGTATTTCATAAGCATACCTCCTATTGCAGCTTGGTAGATTGGTTGTATGTAGACTGTATGAAGTCGAAGTTGAAGGTGCTCAAGTGATCCAAATTGAGATTTTCGTCAATCGACGGCAATTCGTTGTTACCAATCATCTCCATATTCTCCATGTAGTCCATGTCCGAACCTGGCTGCCCAACGCCTGACTGGCCGAGACCCGGAGCGTAGCTACCACAGATCAAAACACAACCCCAATCACTGGCAATCCTCGATAATTAAAATTATCGTAGGTTTAAATCTGTCCCTCTCTTTCCTCCATATCTTTCTTTTCACTCTATCTTTTTTTTCAATCTGAGAACATGTATCGTTTTTTTTTTGCTACTTTTTCGAAGGTGACCGATTAAAGCCGGGATAGCCGGTACAACACGGCGAAGGCAGTACGAATAACAACCACAAGAGCCCCACCCAGAATTAAGTTTGCACATCGGTCACTTATCGTCTCCGAGAAAAGTAAAATGGAAAATTGTAAATGATCTTTTTGAAAATGACGTTTATTTCTCAACTCGTGTGGCGCACGAGAGAAACGAAACAGCAATATTATTCTAATGAATTCGCGAGCAATAACGTTACTCAATTGCCAGCTGCGAGTGATTGGAGCTGCATTTTGCAGAACAGTATCGAACATTCTGTTGTGGTTGTACCGGCTTGCTCCAGGCCTTTGCCTATTTTTATTTTTACAGACACAACTATCTTATATGAGTAGCACATCTGCGCACCTGTTTTTCTAAACGTGATGTCTCTTTAACACGCGAATGTTTACGCTATGTACGCAATATTATAAGCTACAGTATGCAAAATTTGTATAAGTATATAAAAGCTACATTAAAGCCATGGATAAGCCGTTGCATTAGAAAAATGAATCATTGCATTTGAAAAAATATTTAACAGTCGAAAAAATTAATATCATCCTAATTTCTAATCAATATTTCTCGATGGTCCGCAACATAATTGTATAAATAGTCGAAACAGAGCCATTTCAACGATAAAAACGAATTAAATCTGCTGAAATAAAGTATCCGTTTACGTTCGTTAAATTTATTGATAACTTTTAAATGTTTTTGGTTATAAAAATTTGCGTGTAATTACACAATGTGTGTTGTGTATGTATGTGTTTAAAAAATAAACAATACTAAAAAATTAAAGTAGAAAACAGAGATCGCATTTTTACCAATTATATAACTTAATGCATAAACTAAACATATAAATTTAATGATATATAAAATTGAAATGCAATTGTGCGTATAAAGGCACTTTATAATATTATAGTAACTTAGAATCTCCTCACAAATTACTAATATTGCATTATTGATAAGTTAATGCACAATAGCAATGCCCTTTAATACTAAATTTATAGATAACTGATTAATCAGACTTTGTTCACGCTATAGATAATGATCCAGTTGCCTTTATTTCATCCTCAAAATGACATTATTTTCACGTTTCTAATTCTTGAATGTGTTTAATCTAAAATATACATGGACGTATACACATATATGTATGTATAAACATATACATATACCTTTATATATGTATATGTTTTTATATTAAAGATGTATATATATATACACACATTTGCATATATGTATATTCATACATGTATATATAAATATGTATAAATGAAAATTTTTTGTAATTATTTTAAAAAGAATTATCATATTATTACATATACTTTCAAAATCTCAATCTGTTTTGAAAAAAGCCTGTATTAAAATTGGAAAACGCATTTATCGTAACAAACTATAACAAAGATAGACGTACAGTGTTTAAAATACCGGCTATACTTGAATATTTTAACAGACCATACATTATGTTACGATAAAACTGAAAACGTATATTTGTAATAAAATATATTCTTTTTATTATTAAAATATATATTATGTAATTGTATCAAGATTTAAATATGTGACTAATATGAACAAGTTTACTTGTTGCACGCGCACGCGCGCGCGTGCACGTGTGTTTTATTGAAGAACATTTTAGAAAACGCAACTGGAACGTTATCATACTTATAGTATGAATGAAGCCTTATTATTGGACAAAAATATTGGGGTACACATAATAAATATACATGAGAAAATGTCAAAATAAGCAAAAAATTATTTTTAAAAAGAGAAAAAATATTAAATGATAATTTAACATGATTGTTACTTTATGGCGTCATACATTTGCACATATATTTTGAACGTTTTAGCAAATAATGATTATTTATCTGCATTCTCGTCACAGTTGCCTTGTTCAGACACAATATATCCGAATAACCCAATATCGTCCAAGACATACTATCAGTCATTACAAAATTCGTTGAATAATGCATATCGTATATATCATTTTCCCCCCTTTCGCTCGTTTACCTTAGTTTTACAATATTAAACGTACAATATTTCATAAAAACGTTTACAAAAAGTACAATCGCGCAATTATTATTACATCTTTCTTCTATAAAACTCCTTGTGTCAAAAAACGCTTATAAAAAAAGAAAAAAATACTGACCGTCTTTGCAAAAAATAGAAAATCTAAAAGATGAAAATGTGAGTTAAGTGCA